TATATTAAAAAAGCAGTATACTATATTTTAACCAGTCAGAAACCATCAAGTCATAACTGATACCTACATATCTCTACCACTCCTGTGAAAAGTTTTTCTTGACTTATATAATACTAAAAATATGTTTCTTCACTGTTTTCTTTTTAAAAACATTGAGCTATACAAAGAGTCCCTGTCCACAAACACTAACCAAGCTGCACAGCACCACAACACACAACATGGGTCACACACAACTGCTCATCTCATAATCTTGTAAGGCCTAATGGTGAATTGTGCATAAAGAAGAAACAACTTATGACTCCTTGTTATCCAATATTTATAGTTTCAGTACCCAGAATAAGTATTGAATTTTCTTCTTATCATTCTGCATTATAATTTAGTACTTGGAGTATCATATTTTCTGGTCTTTTATAAGAAAATGAACTATACTGACACTTTTTTGGCAACATAATTTTAAAACAGAGATTTTTACTTAACTACCAATTAAAACATAATGTATCTAGTAGAGTATCCGGGCACTGCCTAATTAATAAATGCTAGTAAATCCCATCCTACACCTGATGAACATTAGAACACGTATGTGGATCCTAAATTTTCTGTGCAACAAAAAAATGAAATGAAGATAACATATCAGTTCCAGCTGACCTGGCTGTAACTATGCGAATGTTTTGTGTTTGAAAAACAGACACATTCTTCTCACTGGTTACTTTACAAGAAATTTGTTATTAATGATAGAGGCAGAATTTGAATACTTGACTTGTTATCACCTAACCCAGGATGCCAATATCTGTAAATTATTTAAAGGTCTGTCCCACTTTAGAACTCCTGTAGTTATACATCCTTTTTTCTGCATCTGACTCCTGACATTTTCTGTCCAACCTTCCCTCTCCAATGATCTCTCATTCCATTAACCTGAAAGTCAAATTTTAAGTAATGGCAGACAAGGTCCTGCACAGGCAGATGCTCTATGACTTGGCAAGCTCAATCTCCTGCCCTTCTTTACTTTCTTACATCAGATACACTGACTCCCGGAGATATTCAGACTCACTGGGTCTCTGCTGATGGCAAGGCCTTTACTGTTCCTTTCCCCTCAAGTGCTCACTGCTTCCCACCTTCAGAAGGTCCTTCATCTTCATTTTCCCAGACTTCTGGGAAAATGCACCCATGCTCCCTGCCTTCCAGTTTTCTGTTTTATCCTTGCATTTTAACACCATCTGAAATAACCCTTGCTCAAATCACATATGCATGTATTGTTTGTCTCCTCCCTTTGGAGTCAAGTCCTATGAGAACAAAGAACTTGGCTTTCCTAGTTTGGCATCCCCAGAAGCCTATGATACCTTAAAAAGGTGGATGATGTCAGGCTGGCAATGCACATTTACTGAAATGAATAAAGCATCCCAAACTTCAATGCATCACAAAATTCCTATAATGGGGTCATTATTAGGATTTCTTTTCATGAAAAAAGGAGTTTAGGGCTGGGAAGGTGGTTCAGTGTTAGAGTGCTTGCCTTGCATGCATGAGGCCCTGGGTTTGGTTCCTCAGCACCACATAAACAGAAAAGGCCAGAAGTGGGTCTGTGACTCAAGTGGTAGAGCACTAGCTTTGAGCTGAAGAGCTGAGGGACAGCACCCAGGCCCAGAGTTCAGGCCCCACAACCGATCAAAAAAAAAAAAAGAAGAAGAAAAAAAGAAAAGAATAAAGGAGTTTATTATCCAGAAAATATGTTATATATATAATTGTAGATTTCATAGGAAATTTTATGTGTTCATTATAATTTAGAACAAACTATAATTCTCCAATAACCTCACTGATGGTGCTAATCAAATTCATAATTATAGGCCACATGTCTTTTTGCAAAAGAGTCTATACCTGTGAATTTCCACAGATAGACAATAACAATGGTCTGTTTACAGTAGGACTATTGGAAAGAACATTTTTACCTCAAGTTATATCCAAAACTTGATCTAACAACTTACAGCAGTCAGGACTTCCTATCACTTTTGCAATGCTTTCTCTAGTAGTAATATGCACTGTGATTGAACTTTCTGTTCACATCTATCTGTTCACACAGACCATTTTTTTATACCACACTTTCTTTTAAGTGCATAATTTTGATCATATCTTCAGTCACATGTGCACAGATTCACTTAATTAAATAAACATTTGTGAAAATATCCAACAAACAAATGGCATCCAATTGAACTCAATGTGAGCCAACTGGCCAAATCATAGCCCAGGGTCTTGGATAACTGTTACCCTGTACCAGTCATGCAGTGCACACCATCTCTCTGTCCACTCATACTTCTTGGTATGTTCAGGGTTTTCAAATAGCTCTGGATGAACATCGGTAGAATATTCTAAATGTCTATCAGGGACTTATCAGTAGATGTGGTGAATCTAGAAAATGTCAGCTGTCAGTTGTGTCAATCTTTAAATCCCTTCTGTTTAATGACTTTTTTGATGCTGATGATATGGACTCTCACATTAAGGTAAAATCTGCAAGGTAATAATTTGATAATATCTTCATTCCTAAAGCTTAGAAGGTTTAAAATGAAATATAACAAACTAGGAATACTGAATAACTTACTGGGTGCTATTAACTACACAATTGATTTCCTGGTCAAAAGATAAATGGCTATATGTTTCTTTAAGTTTTTAAGTTAATAATGGGATATAAGCAAAAGAGGGACACTGTCTTCAAGGAGAAGTAGCAGGTGGAGGATGGGGGAAAGGAGTGGGTAACAGGCAATGAAAGAGATTAAAGTATATTTCATATATATATATGCATACACACATATATAAATGGTTGAAACACTGCTTGTAAAAAGGAAAGAGTAATTAAAGGAATATATTACAGGGATAAACTTGTTCAATGTACACTGTATGCATCTGAGGAATTATCATACTCAAACCTTTATATACTATTAATGCATGTCTATAAAATAAATTCATATATTCTTTATAAAAGAAATACAAATTGGTATGTTTCCATAGTAACAAGCACACTGGTTATGGATCATGGAGGTTGTTTCTAGATCATGGAGGAAATACAGCTGTACCCCTATCTATTTAGAAATCACTGAAAAAGTCTAAAGATCAACACAATTTTTCAATTGTCTCTATAAACATCAATTAGGAAATGTTTTGTTTCAGGCTTTGAACCTGGTGTGCAACATGCACAGAATCTGTATATTTTGAAATTTAAACACCATTCCATGTATTCTCTACAGCCATGTCAAAAAAGCAAGCAAATTATAATACAAATTCAAACCATTCCTGTGTCACAAAATTCTGAACTGAAGAATAGAAGCCTGGAGTCAATAAAACACAAATCCATCAGCTCTGTTGATCCATGTGGCATAAAAGAACGTCTACTTTGACAGCTTTCTCAACATCAAACTGAAAATTACATATCACATCGACATCAGCTCTTCTTTAATCATATTCAGAGATTTCTATTCATCAGAACATACTTTTCTGATTTATTTATTTTGACATCTTAACCATCAACATCTCTGAAATTTCTGTTTCTCTAGAAATAATTATTCATTGACAGAAATACCAGCATGCCTCAATATAAAACAGAATCCCACAGACAAACCATTAGATCTCTGATATTCTATTACAAACTACAACAAATAGGATCCCCACTTTTACTAACATTCTCTCCTGATAAGTGTGTTATGCGACATATTTTCTCTGGGTAGGAAGCACAAATGTCACCATTGCTTTCTGGACCCTATGTAAACCCCATTGAGCAAAATCATAGCTCTTCAGGTCCTATACAGCAGTCTTTAGAAGTAGCTGGATATCACAGGATGCATCCACACTTCACTTTCTCTGTGCTCAAAAGGGGTGGGTCTTCCAATCAAATAATCTGGAGGCTCATAGGAAGCAAACATATTGTGTATTTCAGTTTTTAGAGTTTCCTCGTGAAGCATTCTTTTGGTTTCTGAGTAAAGTTCCTTGGAATCTGGCAGGAAGAGCATGGTCAGTGTCAGTACTGACTCCTTGCTGAACCTACAGGCTGCATGACTGCCTCCTGAATATGTTGTCTCATGGTAGGGCAAGTAAAATGCTGCATGCCTATATTGACTCAGCATTACCAGAGGTATGATTACAATACCCAGTATGCATTGCAAAAGCATAAAGCAACAGATGTTCAAGGACACTGTTAACTTACCTGACCTCTACATAGAGCATTCTGTGAATGTATAATATCAAGATGACTTCATCTATGTGTTTTTCCCCTCCAATTTATGTTGCATTCTCTCAAACCCAGCAGTCTAGTTCTGGGGGAGCTCTGGACCATCCACTGTGATAGGACTGGGCATAACCTCAGTTGAATGAAGGTAGCAAATCAATATAACTCTAATGTAGTGCCTTTCAAAGCAAGGAATACACAAATTGTCACATTCTATCACTAAAGAGAGGATGGTGATAGTATGCATCACAGGATAGCCAGGAACCACTCATATTTGTACAAACACCTACAGATTCATTTATAAGAATTTTTACATATGCAGTGAATTCATAAAACTTTTGCAAATTTTAGTGCAGCTGGAATTTCTCCACCTTAACCAACTCATTGAGACCGTTTAAAACCTGTTATGCTTATTACCGCCTTTTAGCTGTGAAGATGAACATCTATAGCTATTCTCAGCACATACCCTATAGTGTCCACCAATCATCTGATTTTTACCAACTGAAATCTTACTAACACCAAACTGCAGGCAACCACTACAATGTCCAAGAAGAAACCATTCAGTAGAAAGTAAAAGTTTTCCTAAGATTTAACTCCCCATCAATTTCTTCCCTACTAAACATGCATGCTCAAACAAAATCAGGACACAGACTGTCCCAAAGCAATTCTTTGGTTTCGCCTGACACACTTCAGGGAACACCTGTCCTCTCGTACCAGGCTACGCATGCTTTCCTAACAGCCTCAAGATCGCAGGACAGAATCCACAGAGAGAGGAAAACGGAGCCTCCAGACTTACATTATTCATGTATTCGCTGAGCAGATCCTGGAGCGCCTGTCGCACCGCATTGCACTCGGCCACGATGCGTTCCCGCCGGTCATCTCTTGTGCAGGATGAGTCTGCCATGAGAGCTGCACCGCTGATGATGCTTTCCAGCCTCTCCTCCAGCGACGGCCGGAACCTGGCTTCACTGAAAGTCATGGGGTCCAGAATGATCTTATTCTAAAATAATTAGGAAAAAAATATATCAGCAGGGAAGAGGTGGCTGTGGGTGAACTCAGCTTGCTAGACTAGGAGACAACACTCCTCTCCCAAGGAAGGGAAACTAGTTACTGAGACAAACTCTAAAATGTCCTTGACAATGTATTAACTTCTATGAGATTATTTTTCTTTTTGCCTTAAATGTAATCTTCAGGTTGAAAACAGCAAATCTTGTTGGAAGAATATGTTCTTGGCAGTCTGTCTTGGCTGAAGCATTTTCCAAGGAGACTGTGAAACTGTCTTCCCATTCTTGATTTAAAAAAAAAAACAAAAAAACACGTGTAGCTTTCCAGGATAGCACATTTCAGTGTAGCACTTTGGAGGATTAAGGGAGATTAAAGAACTATATAAACTAGATTTGATGTAAAATTTAAGATTAAGAACTATGTGAAACTAAATTTTACATAAAACCTAGATTAAAAAGTTTTGTTGTTGTTGTCATTGTCATTGTTATTTGTGCTAGTTTTGGGACTTGAACTCAGGGCTTGAACTTTTTTTTTTCAAAGCTAACCTTCTGTCATATGAGCTACAGCATCACTTCCAGCTTTGGGGTGGTTAATTGGAGATACTTTTCTGCCCAGGCTGGCTTTGAACTTCGATACTTAAATCTCAGCTTCCTGAGTAGCTAGGCAGGCATGAGCTAGTGCTTTCTGGGCATAAAATCTAACCCCTGTTTTCACTGTATTTGATTCGGGTACCCTGAATCTTGTATATACACTTCTCTAATTTGGGGAGGGGAAGGGAAAAAACAAAATGCTTAAATAGAGATTGACCCATTATAACAATGAGATGTACAAGACACTATGCTAAAAAACAAACTTTACAACATCGGTGGGGGGTAGTTGTGGAGGTGGGAGGGAAGGGATGGTAGGGGAAAAACAAAGGAGGAGGCAACAATGCTTGATAGGAAATTCACTCCTTACCTTGTTCATGTAACAGTAACCCCTCTGTACAGTATTTTTACAATAAAAGCTGTACAAAAATGTAGTATTTGTAGAAAAGGATTCATAAAGAATATACTTGCACATATGTGTGTGAGATTTCTCATGATTAACTGAGAGCAACTTAATGGGGGTATTGACATGTTCCAAAGAGATGTTTCCTAAAAGTAAGGCATCACTGAGTATGGGAGCTTAGAGCTGTGCCTAAGTAGGAGGAGTCTGGAGTTTTGTTGGCAGAAGTGTCCATAGATGGATGGGAACACATGCCCAGAACTTAGCCCTGATAGAAATGCAGGAATTCTGAAGGGTACTTAGACACAAGGTAAGTGTGCTAGTTACTTTTGTGTAGATGTGCCCCCAAACATGACAGAAACATCTTACAAGGGGATGGGAAGAAGGATTTGTTTTGTCTCATGGCTTCAGAGGTTTCTGTCCACCACAGTCGACTCTATGGTTTCTAGACTGATCATGAGTAAGGCAGAGAATCATGGCAGTGGGAGCATGTGGAGTATAAGCTGTCCACCAACAGTGAGCAAATGTAGAGAGCGGAATTAAGCATGTGGCAACCAGCTTCAAAAGCATGCACTTGGTGAAGTACATCCTCCAACTAGATTCTACCGCTTTAAGTTTCCAACAACTGCCCAAACAGCACCACTAGCTGGGGATGAATCCTTCAATGCATGAGACTGCAGGGACTACTTCACACTGAAATCCTAACAATTGAGAACAACATCCTTTCCTGTTGAATAAGTAAGAAGAGAAGACCAAACATGACACAGATACAGAAGGATGAGAACCAAAATAAAAGACTTTTAAAAAGGTCAGAAAGATAAGGAATATACCCAGAAAACTTGCCACAATTCAAGGCAGTGGAGACATGGATGAAGGTGATAATTAACTGGTGAAGCAAAAAGGTGATGTTCACATTACACATAGGTTAGTTCCCTTCAGGGAAGCTATTTCTGCTTAAAGTAGCAAGGATCATTCTAGCAGTGTTAACCAAAGTGGAATGATCTGCTTCAGGAAGCAGGATGTTCATCTTCATTAGAGATGCACACACACACACACACACACACACACACACACACACACACACACATGCACACACACGCACACACACGCACACAGGTCCAGAGACAATAAGGGCAGTGATGGGAAATAGTTTTCCAGTCCAAGGATCCCACAGTGAAATTTCAATGCCATTATTGTTTCCTTCAAAGCTCATTATTCTTTAAATATCCCAAGCTCATTAACCTTACATATTTAGCAGGTTAAGATAGTACTAGAAAACAGTAACTGAATGTATTAATCAATAGAATAAGAAAAACGAATGAATGCAGGAAGTCATTGCCAATCTTCAACCAGAAAGGTGCTATATGCCTACTACAAGCACATAAAGTTACAAAGGGAAGTGGGGGACATAGAAGACAGCTTAAATGATTTTTTAAATTCTAATGTAGTATAAAATAACTGCTTACTGATTATAAAGAAAGTTCAGCTATGTGCTCTGGCAAGGTTTTTCCAGTCTTCCAAAACATCCTAGATTACTTGCCAAAGGCTATGCTGGGTACATCCAGAGATTTGTTTCTCTGTTTTTATTTGTTAATAAGAATATCTATAGCAGAGTGGGAGAGTAGGAGAGAGATGGGGGAAGAAAGAGAGAGAGAATGTGGAAGATAGAGAGATAAAGAGAGAGAGAGAGAGAAATCTAAGTACAAAAGTTTTGAGCTTTTGCCTAATGGGTGTAGAAGTTTATAATTTAGGAAGGAAAAAATACAGACTAAAAATATGTACCAATGCTAGAGTCTGGCAGGATTGTAGATTTCCTAGAAAATCAGTAGATGTGCAAATCTCTGCCTCAGTTTAAAAGTCAGATATGTACAGTCTTGCAAAGAGAGATGGTTATTCTTTGTTGAGCTTCAATGTGAGGACCAGTTCATATTTGCACTCTCAAATCTTGGAAAGGATTTACAAAACAATTGTTTACTGAATTTCAAAGTTTAATGTCTGGAAGTTAGTCCCTGTGCTGTGTTATTGGCTACAACTGTCCAAATCATGAGTGGCCTTCATAAAAATGATAGTTCTTTGGGGCCCTTCTTTATAGGTGGAAATTCCAAAGAAAATCTGAGAGGTAGCACAGATATTTCTGCCACTCCCAAGTCTGTATTAAATCCTGAGTCTATATAAAAGGCAGTGGATTTGATTAAATTCTCTTCCTCTACTGCTTTGCTTTTCAGGCATAAGTATTCTATCTTTTCTTTCTCACTATAAATGTGCATTCATAATACACATAAGCATATATATGTTTGAACTCTGCCTTTTACTTGCTTGGCAAGCCATCTACCATTGACCACCTAGTTTCACCTGCAATCCATTCTTTGCACTGACTATTTTATTTCTTTATTTCCTAGTACTGGGTTGAACTGAGGACCTTGTGCTCTTGCTTGGCTTTATTAAAAAAAGTCATAGCTGGTGCTCTACCATTTGTGCCATGTTAAAAAAAGTCATAGCTGGTGCTCTACCATTTGTGCCATGTCTCCACTTTTGGCTTCTTGCTAATTAATTTGATAACATTTCCATGGATTTGTCTCCCTGGGCTGACTCTGAGCTTTGATCCTTGTATCTTAGACTCATGAGTAGCTAAGAATATAGGCATGAGCCACTGTCTCCTAATTGCATTGTTTATTTTAGAGATAGAATCTTGCTTCCTACCCAGCTACATCTTGAACTAAGATCTGTTTATTGTAGGGTTCCTCTCACAGCAGGTATGACAAGCATATTTCACCATGCTCAGCTATTAATCAATAGGGCTCTCCAATACATACCTGGGCTGACCTTGAACTACAATCTTCCAATTTCAGTTGGCCAAATGGCTTGGATTACAAGCATGGGCCCCCACTGCTAGGCTAAGTATCTTCATTATCATGTATTATTAAAAACTGGCCTTCTGCCTGGAATAACACATACCTGTAATCCTGACCTGTTGTGAGGCAGAAGCCCAAAGTTTGTAATTTGAGACTGGCCTGATATTAATAAGATTCCATCCTAACCAACAAGCGAGGCAAGATGCTAGGTATCTGTAATCACAGCTACCCAAGATGTATGGGTAGGAAAACCAAAGTCTGAGGCTGGCCTCAAGCAAATGTTCTAGGTACTATCTGAAAATAGTTTCCAGTAACTTGGTAGATAGACAGACAGACAGATAGATAAGCTGGGGGCATAGCTCAAGTAATGAGTGTCTAGTTCGCATATACAAATCTCTGAGTTCAAATTGCAATACTGCAAAAAAGGAGGAAAATAGACAGATAGATAGGAAGATAGATAGCAATGGAACCAAAACTCACAATCAAGTCAAAACCAAAACCAAAACACACTTATAATAAACGTATTAGTAGACTATCTTTCTGATTTTTCAAAGACCTCTTTTATGGAGAGCAATATCAACATAAAGCATAGTAAGCATTTGTTCTGCTTTACATTTTCTGAAGACACTTCAATGATATCTATTGGCCTTAGGACAGATCTTGTGTTAAGTGCCAATTGGATGGAAATGTATAAAGGCACATTTATACTTTTCAATAAGGCTTCTCAGCAGCACATAGGAGAATGTATCACTTGTCATTAAAGCACCATCTCCTAAGTACTTTCCTATAGTACATGGAGCTTAGAGATTGGATATTTTTTATGAAAAAAATAAGGTTACATGGACACATATGTTTTGGAAGTACTGTATGGCCCACAGAAAATGAGCAAATGAAATGATTTGGGGAGCTTTGAGTTACAGGAGTTAGCTCAGTGTGAATCTCCCAAATCCACAGAAACACGGAGAGAAATAAGTTCAAAATGCATGCATTATCTATGAGAACCCAAGGAACACTGTTTGGGGGATTTCGCCATGTCAGCTGATGGTGTCAGCTGTGGAGCTCTCTGTCTGCCATGGCTGGCGGCTGTCATGGCCCGAAATACATGAAGCACTGGGCTTGACAAACTGTAGAAAAGTTATACTATCCATCATTCATT